GATATTTATAACAATTATAAACGATATTTGTGTTGACTTATTCAATGATGACGTTAATATTTTAATATTGCATTCTATTGAATTTTCTAATTTAATTCAATAGTTTATTCAATAATTCAATAATTTAATTCAATAATTTAATTCAAAAAATTTTAAATATTTTCATAGCATTATCTTTTTATTGAATTATTATAAAAAGTATTAAATTTATTATAAAAAGTATTTAATTAACATTGAAAAATATAGAAGTATATTTTCATTATATAATGCAAGTTATATTAATTTCATCAAAATTTATATTTTTCACTTTATTTGCATTGAATATCAAGTACAACTTAACATACAAGTACCAAAATTTGAAAAAATTCGTTTTAAAAGAGTTAAAGCACACATAAAACACATAAAAATATTTAGCTACGTGATAGAAAGTTGCAATGTCAGTATGCTGTTCTTTCCAAGATGTCAGTGTGATTAAGTGTCCATTCATCATACATCACACTAGAAGGATATAACTTTATTGCAAACACGATGAAAGAATTTGAAGAGGTTATGGTAGTTTACTTCAATTACTTCGATTTTTTTTAAAAGTCATAAACGATTGTTTATGATTAATATTTGCTGAAAATCTGAAAATATCAATTAAATCTACTACATAGTAAGAATATTTTTTTACTCGTCTTTTATTTCTACTGAAGTTCATAGTATCGTTGGTGATCGATAAAGCTAGTCTGAACATGTGAAGCTTAATAATGGTAAGCAATATTGAATGATCGTTGAATTATTTATATATAAATATAAAATGAGCGAATAGCATTTATTAATATTGTGATATAACGATATTCATTAGATTATAAACGAAATAATTGAATCTTTAATAAAACATTTAATTTTCATAATTAAAGTACAATTTATTTCTTAATTAGAAATTTTTATTTTTTGAAAAATTTTATTAAAAAAAATGTAATATTTGCAAAGTGACTAAATTTTTATTTTAATTTTTTTTAATTACATTTATAAGAATACGAATTTGCATAAACAATTTAATCATATACAATTTTTATCGCAATTTCATCAAATTTAAACACGTTTAAGAAAAACACGAATTCTATTTTGATCTATTATACGCTTTGATAAATAATCTGCCATTTTATAGTAAAACAATCGACAAAACGCCAATCATGTTATATTTGGTTAGTTTTAACCTATAAATTGATGTAGATTGCTATTTGACAATATAGCATTTAGTTAGTAGATGATTGAAAGATTTTATACATTTAAAATTGACTAATATCGAATATCTTATTCGTGAAAATCTATAATTGTCAATAATCGATAAATCTAATCGTATTGTATATAGAAGAAAAAAATATTAAAAAAACAATTTGATAACAACTTGATATTGAAGAATGTAATAGGATATTATATTATTATTATTTATCATAATATACTTACTTAATATATCTTACCATATATTATAAAACAATTTTATAATTTGTAATTAACATAAGTACAATTGATCTATTCAGACATCAGAGTCTTTGGCCTCTGCGAATAAATTTGTATAATTTCCATATCATCTATGTTAGCATACAATTTTAAAATAGGATATTATATTAAAATTTTATGAATAATAAAATTTTCTAAGTAATAATTCATTTATTTAATTAAATAGAGAGTTTTTGCCATCTTTATTCGTTATTTTATTTTTATTTAAAAGCATTTAACCTACAAATTTTGACCGAACATTTATTTTAAGAGAATAAAAAATTTTATCTGATATCGAGCTATATTCAAAAAAAGAAGAAGAAAGAAATCAAACCTCTCAAACTTGAATAATATTTGATGAAAATGACCGTGTATATTTGGCGGCACGTGCGTCCATTTGCAATCGAAACGCCATGATTGAATGGGGCGAGCCACGAGTTTATCGAAAACGGCTGAAAGCTGGTTATAGATGATCATAGATAGACACGAAAATTCGTGGTTCGTCACGACAACGACGACGACCACGACGACGACGGCGACGGCGGCGGCGACCGACGCGACAAGCGTCCTTGCTCCAACCACTCGCGCTACTACCGATGACGTAATCGTCGCGATACCCCGCAATCTTGGCGCCGCGGTAAACTCGTAATATCTATTTTTATCTGGTAGAAGCAGGAGCCCCGCTCTGTCTCTTTCCCCTTGCGCACAGCCACGCTAGAACGTATTCTTCGACACACCCGTATTTCACATCTCTTCTTCCTGACTCTTAACCTCTAAATTCAGCCTCTGCTGAAATGATCAGTTTCTCGAACTCTATATGGGCTACCAGGCATCTTTCGTTATTTTCATTTTTAAAATTTCATTTGCTTTTCATCGTCTTGTATAAATTCTTATTTCATTAAACATTGATTCAAATTTATTCCGAAATGACGAAAAATTGCTAAATTCAATTGAAATTATGCAGTAACAATTATGCGAAATATTATCTACTGCTGAGAAGTTAGCAATAAGTTGAAGTTCACGAATCCGTTAAAAGATGGCGTAAACACGTTTTGATCGGAAACAGGTTAGGGTAGGTTCGGACGCCAATGTCGTGGCGACACGTTAATTATAGCAAAAAGTTACGATCGATTTATTGGTCAAGTCGTTTATCCTCCGTCTGTGTTTTGCATATTTAAAAGCGTTTTCGATGTTCCTTTTTAAGACTGTCTGATAAAACGGCGCCAATCAAGTCCACCTGTAATACGTTTTATCTGCTCCAGAATACTCTATATCACATGAATGTTGACCGGTGTTATTAATCATCGGTTAAAACGAAGAAAAGATACTAGTTGAATAATTTACTAAATTTTTATATTAGGTAAATCGAATATTAGCACTCGATATGTTCTTTGCAATAATTTTTATTTCTTGTATATATAAAAAATAAATTAGTATTTTTATTAAAGAAAATATCATGAAAATATTTTTCATTATTGCAACGAATTAATTAATTTTTTTTTCTTATATTTTGTTTCTATTATAGTATCTTAAAATCAAAAAGATCTATACTTTTTATCCGAAAAAATCTTATTTTTGTATCTTTTTTAAAATTATAGTATTGCTTATTGCTTTGTTAGAAAATTTTATCATTTTGACAAATTGAAAATATTATCTTTCATTATATCCTAAATAAATATAATAATATAACTTTTCATTTTCTGCGTCGTAGCAGATTCTTTTTCTTTTCTCCGTCTACTCTCTTGTCTACTCTCGAATCTGGCGCCGTCGTCTTCCCCACGGTTGGCGAGACGCGTGGGACTTTCCGGCGACAAGTCCTTTATGATACCGCTTGTACGCCCGCAGCCTCTCACCGAATGAACACTTTTACTGAGAAAGAAAGACTTCTCGTTAATGACAGATCTCATCTTGTTTCGAGGCATGTCTGTATCGCGTTTCATGGAAGTTCTTCATAAAAACGGCAGATTAAATTCTTTGATGCCCACGCTATCGAGAACTTTCAATTAACAAGCTTATAGTCGTTGAATTTAAGTTCTTTCTTTTTATAAAAAGAAATTAAAAAAAAAATAATCGTTATTATTAAAATTATATCTTTATGCCATATATACTATATTATGCAAATGCACTTGATTTGCCATATCATAAAAGAAATTTACAATCATACAATTTGTAACATTTTATTCTTAATAAATTCTAAAAAAGATAAAATTAAGAAGATGGTGTATTTCAATTTTTGTTACTTGTATTTCATATAATATTTATTAAGAATTATGATAATGATAATAATTGTAAGTTAAAATAATATTTATATATTGCAGGTGAAACAGGACAAAAAGAATGGTGTACATTAGCATATTGGGAATTGGGTGGTAGAGTAGGTCGTCTGTATCCTGTAGAACCTTCAACAGTAAATGTTTTTGATTCCCTCCATGATGGTGATGGCCTTTGCTTAGCAACACTGGCTAAAAATCATGTTGCACCACCTGCAGTCCAAAGAACAAGAAGCAAAATTGGTCTTGGTAAGATTTTTTTCATGTAGTAGAAATATATTCTAGTAAAAATATGAAATAATTTAATGAGATTTATTTACATTATCAATAAAATTAATGAACATAAAATTATCAAAGAAAAAATATTATTGAAGATAAAAAATATCAATTACTTATTTGTAGGTTTAATGCTTAGTCAAGAAGCAGATGGTGTGTGGGCATATAACAGATCTGAGAGCCCAATCTTTGTGAATTCACCTACTCTGGATGATCCAGAGTCTAGAACACTACTTGTCTATCGTGTGCCTCCAGGCTTTTGTCTGAATATCTTTGATCGTACCAAAATTCTACAGCTTCCATATGGTAATGGTACCACAAGAACAAGCAATCAGGCTTCAGGCTTTGCCTCTGGTCCTGTTGATATCAACTCCGTCCGTATCAGCTTCGCCAAAGGCTGGGGACCCAAGTACTCAAGACAGGAAGTCACCTCTTGTCCATGTTGGCTCGAAGTACTCCTAGCACCATGCAGGTGATCCCTACAACTCATTATGAAGGTACACAGTCTCGTCCGTTTGCGCCTCTTCTTCCTCCTCGTCGTCCTCCAAGAGGACCGATCTGTGAAACTGACGCAGCAGCGACGAAGCTCCGTCCTAAAGGCTGCCAACGGATACTCATACGACGTGGATCGCCGCCAGCAGTCTTACCAAAGTACGCCACCATACATCCAGGAACAGCGTCGTTTTATTAACAGAAAAACGAGAATCATTTGACAAAAGCGTTTTATATTCTTGTGCCTATGAACGGAAGACATATAGTATACGTGGTACTCGATTTTCATTTACCCTAAAACTTGATTATATTGCATATTCTTTTTAATTGGTCAATAATACTGTTGTACTTTCTTGATAATGTTAAATGAGATTTCATAAAAAGTGAAGCGGTAATTTCCGCTAGGTCTAGTCAGTGGTATTTAATGTTTTTAAGCTTGATGTTAATGTGTCTTGCATTAAGAATATTATAATATAAACAACATTAACTGAAATCATGCAAAGTGCGAGAGTAAAATTGATCAATAATGTCGCTCTTTTTTTATGGTATTGATCATAAGTTTAATGTCTGTACTGTCTGGCCATGTCCTCGTTTATGATTAATCATTGTACTGCAAGGAAGCAGAAACTTGGGCTTCCGGTAAGGTCTAGTCAATGGTGTTTGAGAATATGGAAAACTCGTTGGTTACATGGATTAAAAATCCATTTAAATTATCAAGAAACGAGAACACTGCCAACAGAATCAAAGGAAGTACTTAGTGTTTTTATGTTACCTTTAAAAAGACTTTTACTTTAATGATTAAAATAATAATATTTGTAATATAAATTTCCTGCTTTTACATTGAATTTAATCAAATACGAGGAAAGATTTGTTAGTTGAAAGATATAAAAAAATTTGCTCGATTTAGAGATATCTTCGTCAGTTTATCTATCTAATTAAATTCTGTCGAAGATTTTTACTATTCGATGTTGCAATTATGAGAAACTTACAAAACTTTTCTCAAGTTCTTTAATTTTGTATGCTGTAAGTCGGTATTTCAACGTTGAATTATAATAATCTTATAATGATTTTTCATGAACATTCAAATGTCGTGTACCACATTTACTGTAGTTGTCTCCAATCGCCGTTCGGTGCTGTACATACGTATATGTACATACACTGTGCCTTCCCAGCTTCCTTTGTGGTGCAATGCACGAGTGATAGAACGAATGCATGTGTGCGTGTATCTAAGAAAAGTGAGAGAAAATGAGAGAATTTCCGCGTGCCAGCTATGTTTCGCACCAAAATGCCCGAGAGCTTCGTACTACAGTAATACGATACTGTGATAAAAGTTCGAACCAGGTCTCTTTTTCCTTCCTTTTTTTCGAACGCGTTTATGAAGCACCGACGATAAAAGAAAAGCAATCAATTTGTTAAAAATGTGTATAATGTATGCAAAGAGACAAACACATGCTTAATAAACAATAATCCATAGACTTGAATCTAGAAAAAATGTTGAATTTATATACAAGTACTGTTTTCTCGGTTAATTTTGTACAGTTTTGAAAGATATGATGAAATTAGTATAAGTGAGTGGAATTTTACAAATTTTATCGCGAAAGTCTTCATTAAGATCTGCCTCCAAATCCAAATACATGTATTAGCGTGAAAGAAAGGAACACATTATGCAAGTTAGCGGTTTGCAAAAGTAAAAAATGTGACTATTATGAGAGAAAAAAATGCATGTACAGTTCGGAATGATGTTATTATACGTGCATACGATGTAACATGTACCACCAGTCATACGTATTCATCCATACGCATACGCAATACAAGCATCTATAAAACACAATTGACTGATCGAATAGTTTTTTTTCGAGCTATTAGTTATTTTTTTTTTTTTTTTTTTTTTTTTTTTTGTATAACCGCTTTTATCAATATAAAAGCGGAAACATGGATTGTAATCTATTGCGATACGATTCATGTGACACGCCGAACGATATATTGTGATGCGTATATTGTCGCTTAAATGTTATATATTAATGTGTATACATATGTATACAAAAATGTTTATAGGTAGCTAGTTATATCTATTGCAATGATGAGTAGTGATTCTTAGATCTATATATGAGGTTAGAAAGTTGGCACTCTTAGAATTACATGATACCTATAACATCGTTTTACGAAGTATCGTTTAAACAAACAATGTTAACCTCGAAAATACTTTTGAAACGATTGTAATTATGGAAATGTATTCTTGGAACGCTTTATATATAATCGTAACATATATTGGTCTAAGAATCGCTGATGAAAATAACGACAAAAAGAATTTTTTGTCGAAAAGTCGTCTATTTCGGACAGCTACGTTGCTTTTTATAGTTTTTTTTTTCTAACTTGCTGTTATAGTCGAGGTTGGCTCATCGCTGGAATTGAACCAAACGCGTGTGGTCAGTCTGAAAACGATTTTTCGAAATGATCTTCGTAAACGCGGAGCGCAACACGACGATCCATATAATTTGTATATTTTATTTCCTTTCGTAAAAATTTGATTAAAAATAAGTTTACTTATTTTTGAATTATATAATCTTCATTTTTGCAAATCAGAAAACAGACATTCTACGTATAATTCGTGAAATTTTTTTTTGTTATAACAGGCGAAGACAAAAAATTTGGTTATGTCTGTTCATAATTATTACCGAGACACAGTTTCCATAAACATTATGCCAGAAAGGATGTATAGCTAACGGTGTACTTAACGATATTTTGTAATTAAACGTATGCAAATTTAAACTTTGCTAGACCCGGTCGTAATCATAGTCTTGTTAAAATTAATTGACAATTGTTAAAAAGAAAAAACATTTCGACGGACGAAATATTTATTCGTA